ATTACCTGTCTCACTAATTCATCCCACAGCCAGCCCTTTTTGCTATTTTAGCAACTTAGCTCATTTCCTCCTTGCCCTTGTGGGGTCTATGATCTCCTGTGTACAACTCGATCTGGCTGATTTCTCTTCTAATTTCTGTTACTGATTTGTAGCTTCTGATTATGCTGACTTCTAGTTTCCTGACTCTGGCTCTTCTGATTACCTGCTCTGGCATTCAAACCCTGGCTTCTGTTTTGACTACGTTCCTGTTTTTTTGCTATTTCTGTAAAGGTATGATTTTACCTGCACTTTCTGTCTCCGCATGGTTCATGGTTCCTGACAACACCAGTGTTAATTTTGACATCAAATTTCGATTTAGTTTTAGTTATAGTCTTTTGACTAAATTTGTCATTTTCGTTTTAGTCATATTTTAGTCATTTGAATTGTTTTAGTCTTATTTAGTTGACTAAAATCTCGAATACATTTAAGTCAGCTAAAATCTCCTACATTTTAGTCAACTAAAATCTCAGTTGCATTTTAGTCCACTAAAATTAAATGGGTTTAGTTAAATTGCAATGCATTATTTAGTCATTTCTCTAGAATTTCAAAAACTCATGATATACTCCTGGAGTAAAAAACTAATACATTATTATTTATGGTATTAAGATTTAACCATTTCAATACCGGGCAATTTTACACCTTCCTGCCCAGGCCATTTTTCACGTTTCAGCGCTCTCACACTTTGAATGACATCTGCGCGGTCATACAACATTGTACCCAAACTAAAATATTATAATTTTCTTCACACAACTAGAGCTTTCTTTTGGTGGTATTTAATCACCTCTGGGGTTTTTATTTTTTGCTAAATTAACAAAAAAAGACCAAACATTTTGAAAAAAAACACGTTTTTCTTTTGTTTCTGTTATAAAAGTTTACAAATAAAAATAATTGTTCTTCATAAATTTAGGCCGAGATGTATTCTGCTACATGTCTTTGGTGAAAATAACCCAAATTAGGATGTATTATTTAGTTTGTAGGAAAGTTATAGAGTTCACAATCTATGGTATAGATCTGAAAATTGATCAATCCTGAAGTACTGACAGCCAATCTAATTTCTTGAGGTCCAAGAATGTCAGAATAGTACAGATTTCCCCAAATGACCCCCTTTTTTTGGCAGAGTAGACAGTCCGACGTACTTCATAAGAGGAATGGCGAGTTTTTTGAAGTTGTATTTTTTTTTGTAATAATTTTTCGGAAAATTAAAAAATTAAAAAAATAATTTTCACTATTTGTTTTTTTACATACTGTCACCAGTGCAGTACAGCATCATCACATAACTGGCATGGCGGTGAACAGGGACACTGACTGGTGACAGTATGAAAAAAAAAAAATATATATATTTTTTTTTTATTATTTTTAGTTTTTTATTACATTTTCTTAAAGATTTTTTTTTCATAGATTACTATGACCAAAGTAGTACAATGTTACCATAGTAACATTGTACGACTTTGGGGAAGTGATCAGTATTTTTTTTTTTTTTTACACAATTTGCTTATAGCAAAGAATTACTTTGCTATAAGCAAGCATTTACCTGAATGACATTGATTCATTGAGGTTTTTTTGTTTTGTTTTTTTTGTGCTTAGCTGTGATTTGGCCACAGCTAATCACATGACATGTGCATGTGACCTGCTGTGACCATTCACAGCTAGGCACTATTATACAATGGATGGCATGAATGAAGCCATCCATTGTATATAACTGTCATGTGACCTGCTGTGATTGGTCACAGCAGGTCACATGGTACCGGCAAAAGGGGGCCGGTACTCAGATCTGTCATTGGCCGTGTCCGAGGTACACGGGCGGTAACAGATCGCGCTGCTGCGGCTCTGCAACCGCGCGAACTGCGCATGTGTGGGAGGACGCCAAATGGCGTACACCCTGGAAAGCTAAAGCATTTTTGCGGCCGCCAAACGGCTATAGGCCGGGTGGCTAATGGTTAAACATGCACTACAGACACAGATTTAGACTGCAGGGATGGGGAAGTAAATGGGAGTGAGGGAATGTACAGGGCAGAGAACTGGGCGGTCTGGGGAGAATATTATTTTACACAGTGCTAAGCACTGCTATCTTGCTGGGAGGGGAAACACTCTCCACGTCACATCCAGACAGACTCAAATCTGGCAAAGAAATTCCTCTTCTGTGAATTGTGGGGCATTGTTCCAGAACTCCCAGGCAGCAGGCAGACAGAGGGAGCCTGCGTCTCTCAGCCAATACAGCTTGCCAATAGAATCAGGAGGCTGGGGCTTTAACAGACAGGTGGAGCTCAGAGAAAAATGGAAGGTCAGGTGGATAAAGTCCCTCCCTCATGTTTTTGTCTTGTTTTCTGTTGAAATTTGGAATTGATTTTCGGCTTAGTTTTCGTCAGTTGACAAAAACTGGAACTGTTTTTCATTCACAGTAGTTTTCGTCGCTGAAAACATACATACAGCTGACAAAAATATGACAAAAATAATTTGTCAAAAAGAAACATATTATTTAGTAAGATGTTTAGATTTGGTGATTTTTTATTTTTTTTTTTTGAGTTTTGTAATAACCTTAAAGCGGGGGTCAGCAACCAGCAGATCGTGATCTACCATCCCAGAGCATCAAACAGAGTGCAATGCAGAGGAACTACTTGTAAAGTTGGAGCTGTAGTAGGGAGCAAGAGCCGAATAAGTTGATGTCTCCTCTGTAGTGCTGGCTCCTACGCCCGGTCATGTTTGGTGGGTGTAGCCAACCATGACCCATTTAAGCTAATTAGGCCGCTCTGTATTTGCCCTGTAAACATGTGCAGTACAGCAAACAAGGGGTTAAACAGGCAGCATTGTGTTGCTTTCTCACTACCTGCTTTAAGCCCCAGGGCACTTGCAGAGTGGCTAATTTACTTGAATGGGTCTTGGTTGATAGGTGGTAGCGCCCACCAAAAACAACAGGGGGTGTAATTCCTGCTGTGGCATGTGTACACCTTTGGCTACTGCCACATCAGCTAAAGAGGATAGGGATTGGGGGGGGGGGGGGGGGTAAAACCGTGATTCAATCACAGGGTTTTACACACCTCAACTTTACATGTGAACAAGCCCTTTGGGTGCCACTGCCTATTACAACTAAGGGCTCATTCACAGGTGCAGTAGGCACTGCTGCTCCTCTTCAAAGAATTCCCAGTGCATTTGACAGGCGGTGAGGTTTCCTCCTCATCACCTGATTTAAACCCATGATTGTTGTGCAATGCACATGATTGTGACATGGTAGTACGGCAATTAGAGGTGTGATGAGGTAACACTATGCCGGTGATCTCTGACTTCTCCCATGTTGTTCAGGTAGATCTCCACCTCTTTATGGTTGCCTACCACTGCCTTAAAGTAAACAGTTTTCCAAAGGTTCTGCAGGTAACCCTTCTGGGATGAAGCTGAGCGTGTGTATAGAAACTCCTTACAGGTCAGTCTTCTTGCTTAGAATGATTAAGATCAGAAACAATATAATATATATCTATAATATAATATGAACTGGGTGATTCACCTTTGTTTACATTTTAAAAACATTCAGGGCAACAACAGTCAGGTATAGAAGGTAATTTCCAAAAGATTAATGCAACAATATTCCATATACCCTTGAACTCACAAGGCTGAAAGCAATGTTCAAAGTGCTGTCTTCTAATGATTCCATTTCATCGCAGTAACCCCCAAACACAGTTAACATTGCTTACAGCATTTTGTATATTTTAATTTATTTATTATTTATTTATTTCAGGTACTTATATAGCGCCGTACATTTGTGCAGCGCTTTACATACCCTAACTCACATTCATACATACACATACTAGGGACAATTTTAGACAGGATCCAATTCACCTACCAGCATGTCTTTGGAGTGTGGTAGGAAACCGGAGTACCCGGAGGAAACCCACGCAGGCACAGGGAGAACATGCAGACTCCAGGCAGGTGGTGCTGTGGCTGGGATTCGAACCAACGACCCTAGTACTGCCAGGCGGAGGTGCTAACCACTAAGCCACTGTGCTGCTTCTTGTACTGTCTTTATTATCATGTATGTGCATACAGCTGTTTTCCTTCCATCATACAGGGCGGAAGGGGTATCAGGCATTAGGAGGGTGTTTGTTTACAGGACAAAAAAAAGTTATGGAAGCTTATCTTGTTTATTGGGTTAAGGCATAGCAAGGAGGAGCTTTGGGAAAAAGTTGGCTAGCAGTGAGTGAGCTTCCTACCCACACATCTATATAGGTTTGTGTTAGGTTTGTACATTTGTCTTGTGATGGCAGCTGGTTGGGAAGGTTTTAACAGCCTTTGAAGGTGTTCACTTTAGTCAAGGGGACGCTCGATAGGGATCTGTTTTTCTTTAGTGTGGTCAAGTGTTTGTGATCTGGTTTTTGTGGAAATGGGATGCATCTTCCGTTATTTTGTGCAATTGCTGCTTAGGTGGTGTGTTTCGGCTGGGGACCTACCATAGATTGTCTTTTTTTGCAGGTACGGGTATTAAGTGTCGAGGTTTTAAATGCCTTCAGAGACCTTTCAACCCAACTATATTTTGATTTTTAGCATAAAATTGTAATAAAAGGCAACAATGGCTATTACATTTCAATAGGGGTATAACTGATTTATTTACGCAAAATGGGAATTATGGTGGAGGGGTATAGTGTGGTTGTGGTGGCCAAACATTTCTGGGATACAGGTTTGAATGACCATAATCAAGAACTGAAAAGTAAGGTTATGTTACTACAATTAATCCTTGTTGAAACCATACATAGGCTTATGCAGTCTTATTTAGTAAAGCCCATTGGATTTCAATAGGAGTATAATGTATTTATTTAGAGAAACGTGTTTTTAAAAAAACATTTGCAGGCTTATTTAGTTTTATTTTACTCCTATTTTAGTTGTTATTCCATTTAATCCTACTTTTCCTAGTTGCTATTTCAACATTTATTGCATAAAAAGTGAAAACTATGGTTTACAGACAAAGCAATAACTAGACACAAATGGACACTACGGGGTTGATTTACTAAAACTAGAGAGTGCAAAATCTGGTGCAGCTCTGCATAGAAACCAATCAGCTTCCAGGTTTTTTTTGTCAAAGCTTAATTGAGCAAAAGAAAGTTAGAAGCTGATTGGCTACCATGCACAGCTGCACTAGACTTTAAATTCTCCAGTTTTAGTACATGAAACCCTATGTCTTTTATTTACCCACTGCCAAATAAGAAAATATTAAATCCAGCAGATTGAAAACTGCAGTGTTTGTAAAGCAGATAGGAAAACCAAAGAAAATAAAACATAATACTAAGGGTAATGTAGAAAATGAGGCAGTTTCAAGATGTTCTGCATAGTGTTTCAACTTCAGTAAAAAAAGAAGATAAAAATGGATCAAAGACTGCAGTAAATTGAGTCTGTAAACTTGTACCATAAACATAGTGCTACATAGGCAGTTAAATCTCTTTGCTGTCTAATTGTTGATGATCATCTCATTACATGACTTTGATTTCAGTGTGCTGTAAATGAGGTGACTGACATAAAATGGTTAAACCTCTAAATAGAAAAAGATTAAAATCACCCAGGTAGCCCTAAGCCTAAGTGACAATAGACTTTTCCTTCAGATTATTGACTAGAGGTGCCATTATGATTATTACCTGATTCTACTGATAATACCTCAAAGCGACTTTGTCGCTAGCTGAAAAATTTACAGAGAAATGCTGCCTATAAAGAAAAGACTTAATACTTACTTGTTTCGCTGCACGCATCTCTGATCTTTGCTCTGTTGCAGAGCTATGGTGGCTTAAGAATTTTCAGCATTTGACATTTCTTGGTGGTTTCAGATGCCTGTTCCCTTTCTGAACTCACCACAGGACCAGACATCTGACAAACCCAGAAGTGTGTTGGATGCAGAAGATTATTCAACACCATAAATCTTCAACAAAGTGAAGATTTGCAATGCAGGGGATGGTAAGCAAGGGTAGCTCCAGGCATTTTTTTTTCCAGTACTATGCTAGTGCTAAATGTGTAAATAGGGGAGCAACTTTCCTGATACTGAATTTCGTGTCCTATAGTATAATATACTGTAAGTAGGCTTACCATAGTGTATAAAAATAAAAAAATCTTTCATGTCCTATGGTATAATATAAGTAGTCATACCATAGTATATGAAAATCAAAAATCGGGAGCTACAAATACTGCCACTGCTGAAAACAGATACTTGCCAGTTCAAGAAATCCATTACTGTCTTCTCCAGAGCAAATTCTTCCCAGGGCTTTGGATCTTTGATTTGGGAGCTGGCTGACTTCCCAGTGACTCACAGCCAGCTTTCCACTGCACATGCACAAGACAGGTGCAAAATTAAGTGTGAAGAAAGAAAACCTTTGGCATATGGTGTGACATGGTGAAAAGTGTTCATGACTATATGAACTAATAGTGAATAGTGGGCTTGGCCTAAATTGACATAGGCTCCACACACACTAGCCTTTTTTTAAGTTCCTAGAAGCTAATATGAGCATTTTTATTTCTGCTCTTAGAAGCTAATAGTGTTATCCATGCACACTATTTTATGCTAGAAGCCTTTTTCAAGCTTCAGCGTTTAAGAGCAGAAAATAAAATAGTTTTTGTAAAGTTTTTGGAAGCTTTTTCCCGGCAGAAAAAAACGGTGAACGCTCCTAAATACTTCTAAATGCATTTTTCGAGCTTTCTTTTTTTCTTCATGTACTGTAAACACACTAATAAAATGCTAAAACTCCTAAATGTTCTTAAACCCTTCTAAACGTTACTAAAACACTATTACAGATCTACTACTACTGTTGGCACAAAAACTCTATTATTCAGTATTTGATAAAAACGTTAGTGTGCATGGAGCCTTAAAGTGATTGCAAAGTTATATTTTTTTCTTAAAATGGCAAACTTGTTATATTTACCTGCTCTGTGCAATGGTTTGTTTGTCCTCTTCTGGGGTCCCCTGCTGGTGCTCTCAGCTCCTGTGCTAGGCTATGTGTGTCCATAGATACAGATGCAGCTCAGCCCCACCCCCCAGGTCCCTCCTCACAAAATCTGATTGTCAACAGCAGGAGCCAATGGCTTCCACTGCTGCCTCCATGTCTTGTGAGGAAAGAGAGAGAGCAGTGCTGCTGCTCTCAGGCACAGCATTGGATTGAGATCGGACTCAGATAAGTATTTAGGGGTGCTGAGGGGAGCTGACCAGGGAATGTTTTTTCTATCTTAATGCAGATAATGTATTAAGGTAAAAAACTAAAAGCCTTTAAAAACACTTTATACACAATTGCCACACTCCTTTAACCCACACATATGCTCTAATGATTCTTCTGATGAGAGTTATTTTATACAGATATATACCTCAAGACAGAGAAATATCAACAAAAAATAACACTTTCCAATAGATATTTTTTGCATGCAGAATACAGACATAGAACTGACTGTATGAGCCTATTTTAAAGGCGACCACTGACAAAAGACAATGTGATAAAAATGAACACACGTAATGAGAATATATATGCAGATCACAGTGCAGTTTAAAGTTGTAGTAAACTCTTCTTTAATAATTTTACCTACAAGTAAGCTTATAATAGAGCTTACCTGTAGGTAAAATTAATATGTACTAAACGTGAACCATTTAGGAGATATTAATATGTTTTGATATTCCCGTGCATGCGCTCCGAAGCAAAAGCATACCTGTGCCTTTCCTTCAGAGCTGTGTGCCGCCGATGGAGGGGTTCATTTCACGGTAAGTGAAAGTAAGTAAGCGATGCATACTAGCACATTATCCCTTTACCTTGCAGGGGGGGGGTTTATGTGTTTTACTACCACTTTAAGTGCATTGGTGAGGACTACATTACATATAACATAATGTATAGCATGCGGCAGTCAGTACTGTGTAATGTACTGCTTCTTACAATCATGTGAGTAAAAAAATGCCTTTTACATTCATGTCACTGTGGAAATAATGCCTCTTACATAGGTTTCATTGGGTAAAATAATGCCCCGTTGGGTAAAATAATGCCCCTTACATAGGTGTCAGTGGAAAAAAAACACCGCTTATATTTGTGTCAGTGTGAAAATAATGCCCCTTTCATTACTGTCAGTGGAAAAATAATGCCACTTATAATAATGTCAGTGAAAAATACATACCCTTGCATTGGTGTCAGTGTGAAAAAAATGCCTTTTAACTTACCGTAATTAGGAAAATAATGCCCCTTATGCTGGTGTTAGTGAGAAAATAATGCCCCTTACGTTGGTGTTCATGGAAAAATAATGCAAGTTATGTTGGTGTCCTTGGGAAAATAATGCCCCCTAAGTTGGTGTCAATGTGAAAATAATGCCCTATCGTTAGTGTCAGTGTGAAAATAATGCCCTATCATAGTGTCAGTGTGAAAATAATGCCTCTTAAGCAGGTATCAGTGTAAAAAGAATGCATCTTACATTGGTATCAGTGGAAAAATAATACCTCCCTGGTCAAATGCCTAGTATTGGTGTGAGTGGGAGTTTCAAAATAATACCCCTACATCATTATTGTCTCCCAATGCAGCCCTCTTTCAGAGTGAGACCCATTCCCCTACACACCTGCAACACCAGCTCCGGGTAGTCTTTCTTTACTCATTTCTTTTTCAGATCAGTAATTTGACCTATTAGAGCCAAAGCGGAAATTAGTGGCAGAAGACTTCCTCAGCCAACTTTACAGGTCTTAACAATTACATTAAATACATTTAATACTTATTTATATTAAAGCTAAACTTTCTTTGTGAGTTTCTTAGTGCATGTAATCAATCAGCTTACTATATCCCACCCCCATAGTGTTTAGCAATAGGACATGGAGGAGGAGGAGGGAAGGAGGGGAGTGTAATTTACCACTGTGTGGCTCTATAGTCATGTGGACTACACAGATAAGAAAAAGAAGGAAATGAAGAGCTTAGAAGGGAACTGAAATATAAGCATGCTCAGTAGAGGACACCGACTGGTCTTTACAACTCAGGTTGCAGTGGGGACACAGAGAAGGTGGGAGGGACACTTGAAGGCAGGATCAACCAAGTATATTTCACTCTACACAAAAGAAATGCTTTAGTGGCTTTGTGAGTATGCACACTTTGTTAGGCTCTATTTACACTTGTGCCACTTATCATGCAACTTTAGACATCACAGTCGCTTGACAAGTTGCAGTCCTTTCTTTTCAATGGAGACTTAAAAGTTGCAGCAACTTTGAAAATGTGCCTGCACTACTTTGCTGCGACTTGATTCCAGAGAGTGGAAAGTCGGATCAAAGTCGCACTCAAAGTCATGTTCCAAAATTGCATGATTTCCAATTATGAATGGAGCCTTATATAGCATGTAATGAGAGTTTTTCTTAGTCTGGGTTTAATGACACTTTAAGGACCTTTGAGAATGAATGACTTCGCTTTCAAAGTAACTAGGAATCAGGGATTTCTCGTTTAACATTCTTTTACTGCTTATTAACAATCTGTACTGTAAATAGTTTAGTGCCAACATTCTGGGCTCAAGTGCACTTTTAGCTTTAAAAGTCAGATTTTATCCATGACTGATATTCTGGTTTTGCTTGGTAGACATTGCAAGTAGTTATTATATTTTATATCACAAGACAATTACTTTTATTTGTTGGTATGGAAGATCACAATTACACTGTGAACATTTTCAGCAAGAAGGCAGGTGGGTTTTGTTAATATGGGTATGTTTATGTTATTATCTGTATAGTATGATTTTTTATTAGTCTTTATGTATGAATTAAAATGGATCTCTAGCCTTTCAGGTTCCATCCACCTGTTGTTGCCCAGACCCCTGGTCTTTTTAAATCGAAGTGCTCCCATACATAGCTTTTCCTGCAGGCTTCTGGCAGGTCCAGCACATAAGGGCAGCTTCCTCTTCTGTGAGCCCAGCCTGCATTATGACATGCCCCCCTAGGGGGCATAAAAACTCACAATCTGGGCTCACAGAAAGTAGGCACCGTTGTTGCCCAAAGAAGGCCAATGGCACTGGATGGAGGAAGAAGCTAGTGACAGGGACTGGAGCTTGGAGAGTGGGAGTATAATATGGCAATGTTTTTTTTTTTTTAAATACAGGTGGGGGGGAAGAAAGGGAGAAGAAACAAAAAATAAATAGATTTATACTTTATAA